AAGAGGACAGAGCTAAAGGTTGCCTTGTCTCCTGAACCACCAGAAATCCACACAGACACACCGAGCGGCAGTGAGGATAGGTGGCCCTCTCGCCTGCTGATTATAAAGACTGTCATGCAATATTAAAAATGGTCCTCTACTCCACTTCAGGTAGCACAGAGATATATATTGCATTACCCTAAGTAATATTTGGACAACTCACATCCAACACTCGACCACCTTAAATCATCATCAGCGCTATAGGAACCACTGTAAAAGATAAACAACCCTAACCCAAAGCAGTTATTAATAAATGGGCAAAGTTCAGTGCTTGATGTATGAATAATTATTATGGTCTTCAGGGAGCTGTCCATGTAAAATTAGATTACTGATTGCCAATCTAAATAATTAACAGCTGTATGATTATAGGAAGCATAGTTCACTGTGTGTTCTCCACTCTGCAGCCTTTACAGCTGTCACATGATGGATTAGAAATAATGAGCATTCAGTATGGGAACACTGTGTGGGACAGCGTAGCATGTTGCTACCTGCCCAGATGCTAGCGAGAGTGTTAACGGCCCGCTGTCCAGGACACTCATCACCATGACAACCCATAAAGCTGTCACCGGGGAGACAAAATGTCCGTGCCCTGAGCTATGTGACCAAGACGTGTCTGTAAGTAAATTAGTTCACATGTCTGGATAACTGTGCCTGGAGGTAGACAGACAGCCTTGAACTCAGGTGAGCACTAATGAGAGCGCTGTCTCCCCTGAGGCCTGCTGCCACTCAGACCTGCTGGAAAAATAACCAAAATATACAATAACACTAAAGAATGTAATCATCACTCCTGAGGGAACACTGTGTGGGCTGACACCCTCAAAGTCACTTAAGTACGCACCGCATTTTCACATTATTAATATTTTACTTTTTCAATATAAGCACCTTTTTCACTGTACATGTAAGAACAAAAAAAAACAATACATTCTCAAATAACACATCTCTACGACAAAGCAAACACTCATTGTTCTAAAAGCCATATGTTCTTTTAGAGTTTCCCCATTCAAATTAAATACATACATAAAGTGCATTTAAGTCACATAATCTTGAATTTAGCAGACCATACCAAACTAATCCACATCATTTACTTGAAAATTGAATGTGCTTAATTTTACGTCCTGCAAGACTTTGAGATTGGGGGTGTGTTTGAAAATAAATAGTCTGTACCAATACAATTTTTGAACATTAAAACATGTAAAAATGTCACAGTAGAGGCACAAAATACAAATATAAACCTGCAAATGTGCATACTGTAATATGTCCTCCTTGAAACAGTTGAGTTATGTGTGTGTGTCTTTACAGTATATGTTTGGGTATTGTTTGGACTAACAATATGATACTGTTCAATTCATTATTGTAATTCCTCTATGTAAATACTCACTGACTTTGATACACTAACCACTACATAGCTCTGTCTCACTTGACAGTTATTTTTGTTGTGTTGGAGGTCCATGAAGCATACACTCTGTAACATGCAGACGCTTCCAAATGCAGAGGTTTGCACACCGCACTCTGGTGCACCCCTACCTTGAGTCCGAACAGAGTGACCATCGTAAGGTCAAAGCGAGTCATTATACAGTAGAGCTGCTGAATGCGGAGCAGAGCGAGGTGCCACACCTGACTGCCAAACAGTCACCTTAGACCAAAGACCGGCTCGATAGTAAGATGTGGCTTGACCTGGATCATCATCACCATTCTCTCTCTCTTTCTCTCCTGTTGAGGTTATAGTCTTTCCTTACTCTCTCCCCACCTGGTATTCAGTGGGTTCCCAGACATTCTTGACATTTTGCAAAGGTTGAAAGACAAAGAACCTTTGTCTCCTAATAAGGCCGTGCTCCACACCCCACCTGAATGCGAATACTGGGAGAGAGAGGGCGGCGGGGGCCTGCATGTGGGGTGGGGTGTTTGTGTGTGATGCTGGAGGTGGAGGGGTGTATACAGGGATGCAGACGGGAGTGTAAACATGCAAATGAAGATGGAGAACAGGTGGGAAAATTAAAGCTTCAGGTTGGAAGACACATGAAGGGTTGTGTGTGTGTGTGTGTGTGTGTGTGTGTGTGTGTGTGTGTGTGTGTGTGTGTGTGTGTGTGTGTGTGTGTGTGTGTGTGTGTGTGTGTGTGTGTGTGTGTGTGTGTGTGTGTGTGTGTGTGTGTGTGTGTGTGTGTGTGTGTGTGTGTGTGTGTGTGTGTGTGTGTGTGTGCAGGTAAGAGGTGTGGGAGGAGGAGGTTTGGGACTGAGCGGAAAGAAAAATGAACACTGTTATGATCAATTCCCTATCTGGGGGTTGAGAGTGATAACAGTTAGGTTTCAGAGGCTAATGTAAGCTACTGCTGTGAGAAACACGGCAGCGCACCCTGGCGCTTTGCCCGCAGTCACACACACACACTCGGATGTTGTACAAGAGAGCGATATCCTCCATCACTGCAGGAGCTTGAAGCAGAACTCAGAACAACCAAGGTCCTTCTGGTCTCTTCTCATCTTGCTCTCTCTCATCCATCACACCCCTCAGGTCTACCTCTCACCTCCCTCACCCCCCTCAATCCCTCTTGCACCTTATTCCTCTGCAGTTCTCTCTGAACAACTTTCTCCAAAACAGCAGAAACTAGGAACGTTTGTTATTCTTTTATAAATGTAAGCAAGGACAGGGCTGTTGAAATGGACAGGTTTAAATAGTTAGAGCTCTCCATCTGGTCAAGCACCTTTCAACCTTTAGTTCAGTCTCTTCTTGTTTCCCAATCTGCCAGTGTCACTTTGAGTTATCTCTACCTTAGACTTCCCACTTACCATACAGCTGTGGCCCCGTGTTATGCAATGTCCCCGCATTGTCTCATCTGCAGTTTTCAAGGCACTGCAATTTCCGAAGGCGCGGAGTTAAATGCGAGAACACAAAAGTATTTTTCTCTGCGGTTTGTCTTAACATTATATAAGCAAAAAAGGTAAAAATATCTGGACCTGTCTTCAAAAGCAGATGGTGCGGTTATGACATCAGGCTCGTTAAAGGCAGCTATAACTAGGAAGAGCCAAAGGTTGTTGTGAAGTGCACTGCCTTAAATCTAGCTGCCCCTACTAACGAGGAGAAACAAATGTGTGTGTCAGAGATGAGCTATTAAACGGAACAAAAGTCCTGCAAAAATCTTTAAATTCTCCTCTCATAGTCTCTTGTCTTTCTCTATATGAATCTCTATCTCCCCCACCCTGTCTTTCTCCTTTTCTCTCGCTCTGTGTTGGTATTCTGTCACTCACTGGGATGTGGGCAGATATGGGATCATATTCAGCCTTCCAGATTCATTCTGCTCGCGACTCAGGAGCCAATATTAGCCACGCGGCCGTTGTTTTACCCATGAGCCCGTTGCCTTGGAAACGTTGCATAAGAGGGAGTGGGAAAGCGGGATGCCCCTTGCTGATTGGGAGACAAGGTGGCAGATATTTTTTCCTCTCCCCTCGTCTTCCCTGTATCTTCCTCTTGGATCTTGTTCTTTTCCCTCCGCTCAACACTTGTTCTATCCGTACGTGTCAAAACCCCGGAGCTCCAGCTGAACCCTCATGACACGTGTTGAATAAACTCACCACCTTCAAAAAAAAGCTCCACAGTCAAAAACAGCATACTCAACTTAGTGATTTATGGTCCAATTAGACATGTTTGTGTACACACAGCACAGACACACACACTTGAACACTCCGTTCAATGCGCTGTGTTGTGTGTCATACTCCGCTGTGGGAGGCCTTGGCTGGATTCAGGGAGGATAGTGCTTCATTGAATTCACAGTGACGACGTGTTCAAGACTGCATGACTTGGCCTTCCATATCTTCCATACAAGCAAGGCAGTGCTGTGTCTGCATACCAGGAGGGTGAGAGAGACAGAGGAATGGAGGGGGAGGACGCAGAGTGAAGAAATGATGGCCTTGGCGCCAGAGACAGGACAGTTTATCTTCTGTATCTTCACTGCCTCCAACTCTTTGCCTGCTTTGAAGAGAAACAAAAAAGACACAGGATGGACTTAGAATTTGAAGTCATTTTAGAGTCAGGAGTTCACTTTACCCAAAAATGTCCAACATACCTGTGTAGGCATGAACAGAGATGTAATTAGTGATCTGAACATATCAGGGCTGCTGAAGGTTGCATATTTTCCAATGGAATAACCTAAAATGTAGTTTCTTGTGTAATTTGCATTTTTTCCAGCATGTAGCAAGCCAAGAAAAGAGCAGGGTGGGCAGCCCCTGCGTGAGGGAGCTGTCTCAATGCGTGTGTTTAGCAAGCACCATCTGCTGCTTTTATTCAGATGGGAGTAGAAATATTTGGTTGATTAAGAGAGGATCCGTGTAGGATAGTTTCACTGTTACCACCGGTTACGAGAGACACACATGCTCGATTTTTCTCAACTGGTGTCTATCTGGAAGACACATCAACATGCAACTGCTCGAATAAGTACACATGTGCATATGGATGTCAATGTGTAACACGCAGCCCACTAAACACACGACAAAAGTGTTGAAGACACCCTAACACTGCAGTGAGAAGCAGACGGGTGGAGACACAAGCTGACAGCAGCCACACAAACAAGACATTTATTTTTGGAAAATTAAAAACAACGCAATATAATACACAACAATATGACCTATGTTTTGTAAATGTCAGTCTATTTATGAGTTGTTTATTTTTTTTAAAAGTGTATGGACAATGTGCCACCATTGCTCCAATTCTATGACTTAGCCTGAGCCTTATTATTGTAAAATAGCATACACTTTTTATAAATGCTACAAGTATTATAGCTACCACAGGTATGTACTGTATATCTAAAAAGGGGCATTATGAATATTCAAGTGTGTTTAAAATGCTGTCATTAAGTGGGTGCAGTCGTTACTTTTCTTTTTTATTGAGATTTTTACACCAATGTGTAATCAATCCTGCAAGCGTACGTACCAATCTTTAATAACTTAAATAACATTTTTTGTTCCCTCTTCAGGTGCTGATCTTGGTGGTTTGATGGACCTGGAGTCTCTGTACCGCGGCGTGGAGCAGAGCATCAACCACACGCGAGCGGGGCGAATGCGCCGGCAGAGCCTGGACCGGGCCTACAACATTGAGGTGCTGCTGGGCGTCGACGACTCTGTGGTGCAGTTTCACGGGAAGGAGCATGTCCAAAAGTACCTGCTCACACTCATGAACATCGTAAGTGTCACAATAACACCAACAAACACACGGAAAGAGAAGTTGATGAATGTAGGCCAATTCAAAATAATGTATCATCTAATAAGGCACCTTTTATTTAAATTGCTGACTTACAAAATGTATCTTAGATCTCAGGTATCACATTACCGGTGTTGGAATGTAACTTTACTAAAAAGTTTGAGGTACTTTGAATTTACTTCAGTATTTCTTTGTTATGCTACTTTGTACTTCCACTCCACTACATCAAAGAGGAAACTATTGTATTGTTTACTCTACTACAATTTCCTGAGAAATGTCCTGCCTTTTTCCAATTAAAATTGAAATTGAAAAAAGTTGACAATTTTGGACACTACAAACATTACGATTTTATAGACAACCTTACATCTATAGCAGTGAAATACGAGATATCCATTAATGCAGCTGTAATTCTAACCAAAAATATCATATCAATTTAATGACACTAACAGGGACATTTTTCGTGCAGAGTGAATACTTTGTCTGATACTACTTCCTTTTCCCCTATACTTTTAAATGCAGCACTTTTAATTGTAGTGGAGTATTTTGACAATATGGTATCAGTAATTTTATTTTACATAATGCCTCTGAATACCTCTTTCATCACTGTGCACATCACACATGCAGCCTGCTTTCAAATATCACAAATAAATGAATCTGCATCTACACCCATAATCCTAAATGCCCAAAAGTGACATTTGTTGTTCTGCTTTAAAAAAATCCAATGGAAAAACTGAGTTTTTAGTCAAATGGGAAGTAAGTCACAGAGAGGTCAAAGAAAGAGGGTTACACACAGACACATAGACAGACTCACACAAACACACACGCACACGCACACACACACACACACACACGCACACACACGCACGCTCACACACCGACTGAAAGAGGATTCAATTCCCTTCCTACATGTTCTCATCCAGCAATCAGCCGCGGGTAATCCTTTCTTCTCTATCTGAATATGATGAGATTTCATTTGTGTGTGTGTGTGTGTGTGTGTGTGTGTGTGTGTGTGTGTGTGTGTGTGTGTGTGTGTGTGTGTGTGTGTGTGTGTGTGTGTGTGTGTGTGTGTGTGTGTGTGTGTGTGTGTGTGTGTGTGTGTGTGTGTGTGTGTGTGTGTGTGTGTGTGTGTGTCTTAGGTGAGCCCTGTGCTCTGAGGGGGCTCCTACATATCATTTCATCAGGCTCTGTGGCATGTCATATTTCATCGAGAGTGTGTTTGTGTGTGTGAGAGCTGCAGAAACAGCAGGCATTATAGCTCCAGGCCACGACAACACTTAGCCAAGCACCCTCCCAGGTGTGTGTATACATGCACGTGTGTGTTGGTGTGACACTGAACACACGGCAGACTTTAATCTTTGCAAATTAAACCTGTGGTGAGAGTGCTGCTTGCAAACGTGTGTACGTGTGTGTGTGTGCGCGCTCCTGTTTGCTTTCGCTTGTATTGCGACCCACTGCGCAAGGAACCAATCGCAGACTGTTAAGCAGGTGCAAGCATACAGCAACACATCCTGCCACACCTCTTTGTCTCAGCTCAGCGCTTGAGAGAAAACAGGAGCCGCTGTGCTCTCTGCCTCCCCTTTTAGATATTTGTTAGACAATATAGAGAAGGGAATACGCAGCCCTGTCGCAGCCCCCCTCTAATCTGTGGGGAAGAGATGGTGAGACAGAGGGAGAAGGAGTATTTTAAACAGCGCTTTTGGAATAAATTACCGACAGCCAGATAAACAGAAATAAATAAATAAAGGCTGCCTCCCACGCGTGGCATCTGGGCGACTTTCTTCTTGAAAGTTTGCTTTGCTCACTTCAGGATGGGTGTGCTTTCTATCCCCTCTCTCTCCCTCTCTCTCCCTCTCTCTCCCTGTCTCTCGCTGAGTCTCTCAGCAACACTGAGTCGCTCCTCACTGAGCTTTTTTCCCATTGTTACTCCTCCCTGACTTGTGTCGTTTATAGCAACAGATCCTCAACGATGTCTAAAACTTTCCAATAATGTGAGTGACAACACAGGTTTAAGGCGAGACATTCAAGGTTAACTTAGAATCATTAATGGTTATGAACAGGACCTGTAAAATCCCATTTGTTATTTCTTTTAATTGTAAAAGTAATTTCTTTCTGATTGTTTTGTAAAATAAAAAATTAACAAGACAAACATATCGCTGATGACGATGACCTAATATTTTATTTATAAGGAAAATGTATGCTAGAGGGGGTAGGACCAGAAAAGTTTTTTTTAAGCTTCTTCTTGCCCCTGTTGAACATGACAGAGACTATTATTTAATTTTTTTTTTGTCTTGTTATTTTTTTGTACTTTGTTATAATTATTATTATGAGTGAGAAAAAACAAGAAAGAAAATGATATATATATATTATTATTATTATTGTTGTATGTTTTGTTTATGTTCAATAAATTGACTAAATATATTTTTTAAAAAGGATAAGGAGAGAGATTAAATATGTTTTCCCTAAAGGTTACTCATATGTAGGCAGTTTATTGTTCTGTTATTGTAATACTGCCTAAATACACAGAAGAAATGATTAAATGTTCTCTCTGAAATAGGGAGAACTTTCCATTTACGGCAGGAAGTCTCCTCACCTCGCCTTCTCCACCAGTTTCCTTAAATTCCTCTGGCTGATTCTCCTCTGTATTTCCAGGCTGAATTGAGAAAGTTTTCTCTGTGCGTGTTTGTGTTTACACTTTCAACACACCTAGAAACTGTGTGAAGCAATCCTCTGTCTTTTGTTGCAGCAGCTGTAACAGTGTTGTACAGCAACCTTCAAAGAATAAATAAAGCGCTTGCATTCTTGTACAAAAGGTTATTCTGAAAAACTAGAATTTATGCATTTTTTCTCTGTCTATTTACAGATATTCTCTTGTGTCTTTATAATTACTCTCTGCATTTTCCTCTTCTACTTATTTTTCTGACTTTATGGAGCTCCGTCTGTCTGTCAGTCTGTTTGAATGACTACCGAAGTGAGCTAGGGGTTCAAGGTGGACTATTTGTGTGTGTATGTGTGTGTGCGTTAGTGTTAAGGGTGTGTGTGTGTGTGTGTTAGGGGAGCGGTAGTGTTGTCTGCAGGACATCAAAGCACTCCCACAGAAAACCACTAATTCCTGTCTGTGAGGTTCAACTGGAGAGTCAAACTGTGTGATGTGTGTGTGTGTTAACGTGTAGGTTGAGTTAGATGTGTGTTAGATGATCTCTGCTTCCCACTCCTTTCCCATGTGTTTCCCTCTCTTCCCCACATTGTATGTTTGTTCAATTTGCTTCAATAGAGGAAAACAGGTCCAAGCACGTGGCTACATTTTTCACTAACCATTTCACTATCAATCAATTACAATATTTCTTTCCATTATCTTTATTAAAATGTTGCAGTCATATAAACCTGACTAACAGTTGGATGACCTGTTGCGTGACTCTTCATCTGATGCCATCATCGTTTGGAAAAAACTGGAATATTGGGCCTCTTTGCTTGATGTGTGGCTCTCTGTTTAGTGTCTTTATAATTAAATGACAAGCGACATGGTCATTGTGTGTGGCATATATTTTGATTTGGACAAGAAGGTCTAAACAAACCAAAAAGCTAACCAACAATTCAAAAGAATTGCCATTGTCACATTTAAAAAAAGAGAGAAAGAATTCAACACAAAAGGGTAAATTAATAAATAAATAAAGTGAAACTAAATTGGGAAAAGTGAGAAATGAGTGAACAGGCAGCTTTGTGCGTTGTTTTGCTTGACCACAGTTGACAAAGAGGAAACAAAGGTGTTGTAGCAACAATGTAAATCCTGTAAAATATGGTGTGTGATAAATGTCAAGTGGAAGCCATTGTGCAGTAATCTTCCTGCGGTGAACTTCATGGAGATAGATTTAGTGGTCAACAGTTATCTATCTGTCTTACCCATTAATGGAGACCTTTAGAGAGAGGCCGCTAAGTGTTAATCACACTCTCCATGGATATGAATAGTCACTGCTGGGGAAGGAAGGTATGTGTGTGTTTGTATGTGTGTGCGCGCGTTTCATTTCAATGATGCACACTTAGCTGAATTCTGTCTGCACTTTTACCCATATGTGATTCATATTTTTTCTTTTTGGTTCAGTCTTGTCTTTACTAAATCTCCTGGAGGCAAACAAAAGTTGTAATATATATTGTAATAAGTGTCAGAAAAGCCTTGGAAAGGAGAGGTTGCCCAGGTAATAATAGACACCTTGTTAGCTGGAAGTGTCACAGATATGTAAGGAGCACTGTCAGAATGAGAGCTCCAAATTCTGGGTCTCAGTATTGAAATATTCCCATGTGTGTTGATACAAATGTAGAAAAGCTGTCCAAAGTCTCATCTAATTTATGTAGCGCTAAAGCCAATTTTATTTGATGACTCAGTTCTGTCTCCTCGGCAGCTGAGTTTTTTTAAATGTTTCCCAATTTTCATCGCATATTCAATGAAGCCCACTCTCCTTGATGAGTTCATTTGAACACATTAGCTCTTTGTGTGGAAATGTTCACATTGTTATGTTATTGAAAACATTTGTGACCTTTGAATGCTTATCACTACTTTGTATCCCTTAGTCTTATAAAGGGGCAAGGAAATGAGTCCAGAAATAAATAAACAAATTATCACTTTATATTTCATTCATACATATATAAAGAGGTTTTATTGTGATACTAATTGTAGGTTGGAATTCTATGGTTGAGTTTGAGGTACCAACACTTAAAGGCACACTGCCTGGTATCTCTTGTTCCTAGGTTGCAGTCTGAATAACCCTCCTTATTCTCTCGACATATAGCACTACGCTTTGCTTTTATAGCAGTAAACATCTCTATCCCTCCTTCCCTGAGTGCTTTAGATTTTAATTGAATTTTGAACCCCACACAATACTGAAGAAAGTCATTCATCAACAGATTGTAAATGTGCAGAGCAACAACCGCACAACTGAAGTCAATGTTTCTGACACCACTGAAAGGTTTCATTATATGAGTTTTGTTTG